TAATATTTGAGATGCACTTGTTAACAATTTTCGTAAAAATTTTTTGACTAGTTTCAATGAGTGAGATGGGACAGGTGTTGGCAAGATTATGTAACCAAACAATTTTTTTTGAAAGAAGTGTAATAGCTGATTGTTTCCAATGAGTTGAGGGTTGAGATGTAAGAAGTATCCTGTTGAAGAGTTTTTTTATTTGCTGTCTGGCTGCAATACTTAAATTAATCCATGCTTTATAGGGAATACAAAAAGTCAGATGCTTTTCACTTTGGGAGGTTGAATAAGACTTCATCAATTTTAGGCAATAGAATTTCATTGGTAGTTGGGTCAAATGCATTGTCCAATATAGAATGTTTGGATAAGTATTGGTTATACCAGAATTCGTTTATGTTAAAGGGTTTGGGTTCAAAAATTTTTTTGAAGTGGTTAGTGATAATCTCAATAAGTTTGTCAGGATTTTTGTGAAGCTCATCTTCTTCAGCAAGTATGGAAAGATCAAGGGATAACTTTAGGTCTCCTAAGGCTCTTTTGAGGGCAGTCTTGGGTTTGCATCAGAATCTGGAGTAATTTTCTTTAATTCCTTTTTGTATCTCATTTAAAATATCTTTGTTGGATTTGGACACTTTTTCCTCAATCAAGATCTTCATTGTTTTCCTTAGTGATTTAAGGCATGGTTTTGTGTTGATTATCTTGTTATGTATGTTCAATGCCATGTAGTGAAGTTTTGGTCTTGAGATGCTGTTACTTCTTAAAGATTTGATTACAGTTTTGACTGACTTAATTGCTGTATTGTAATGTTGTAAATAATCTTTTCTGTGTTTGGGATTGAGTTGCTTTCTCTGTGTAATGTTGTCATCCATGGCTTTTTTAATAATATTGTTGAGACTGTCCCATGTTTGATTTGAGTTAGCTAGGCATGATAGCTCGATGTCTTCCTGCATTGCCAACATTTGTTCTTTGCTTGCTTTATTAAACTGGTATACATTAGTGAAGAATGAAATTCTGTCTGGTCTATATTTGAACCAATCAAGAATGATAGTAACTTGCTTATGGTCTGTGGGTATAGTGTGTTGGTCAAAAACTCTGTAGCTTAGAATTTTACTGGCTAAGTCATTGGTGAGCCAAATTTGATTAATTCTGGATACACTCATGCTTGTTATGTAAGTGAAAATGTAATCCTTGTCAATAGCCTTGGCAATATCTATGAACTTGCTAAGGTATCTATATATGGTTCTTTTGTGTGAAGCAGTAAGAGCATTAATAGAGGGAGAATTGTAAGGGTATAAATTGAAGTCACCTGCCAGAATAATGTGTTTGCTTTGATGTTTTTGATAAATTTTTAATTGTGGTAACTGCTTGTTTTCTTTGGACTCTTTCATGAGGTAGATAGTATTATATGATAATGATGTCAACCTTTGGCTTGAATTTCAGATGGATGGCATACCAGTACTGATTCTCAGTAAAGGTGTCAAAGATGTGGTTGCTGATAGACTTTGTTGTGATGATACATGTGCCATTGCTTGCACTTATTGATGGTATACTTGAGATAATTGTCAAGTTATTCATTTTTTTGGGTAGTGGTTTGCTTATAGAATTTTTTGTTTCAGAGCAACAAAGAATGCTTCTCTCATTTGTGATTGCTTTAATAAGTTCCTTTAATTTTCCACTTTGTAACAGTCCTTTAACATTAAGTGTGGAGATAGTGATTAGGTTTTTCAAGTGTATGGAGGGAGTTTGAGGGAGTTTGAGTTGATGGTATAGTGATATTATCTGATTGGATATGGGGGAGAGTGTTTGGAGTTGTAATAGGGGGCAAGTTAAGTGATGTGTTAAATGAATGTTGAAAGTTGGATAAGACACTATTTATTGTTATATTAGATTGGAGAGAAGAGTCATCGCTGGTTCAGGTGACTCTGATTCAGTTATGAAGTTCGTTGGAAGTTTTTTGAAGTGAAAGTGCTTGCTAAGTGTTTTGATGTTGTCATTCAAATGAAGATTGTCCTCTAATAGGAGGGTTAGGTTGACTTTAAGATTTATAAGAGTTTCATTGGCTTTTTTCAAGTATAATAGGTCAGGTAATAGAGGGGTAATTCATTCTCTGGAAATTTCACCTAGATATTTGTTCTTAATTCTTAAGATGGTCTGTTTGAAATCAGGTGACTCTCTATTAAGTTGCTTTCTGAAGATATTTAACTTAGTCTCTACGATGGCAATATCCTCAGGGATTTTGGGTTTGTCAGATTGGTTAAGACTATCCTTTATTTATTCAGATCCTAAGAGAAGTTTCAGATAGAATTTATGATTGAGGTCTTTAATAAGTTTGTCTACCTCTTCTTGTGTAGTAACTGGGCGAAGAATAGAATTATTTTTGCTATACTAGTGTGCTGGAGGAAGAGGACACTTGACTCTTATGTAGTCAAGTGGAAGATGTTTTACTGCATAATTGTTGTCTCTAAGCAGTTTTACACTTCTCTTGAATTCTTCTTTGTATTGTCCACTGGAAAATACTTAGCAAGGTTGGCTGGTAAGTCTTTGAATAATGGTGGAAGGTGTTCTTTTGGTCAAAGTATGAGTCTGAAAGTTTGCTAGGGATGTAGTAATGTTCTCTAAGTTTGTCCACACAGAATTTGAGATCTGCAAGCTCATATCTTTCCATAAGTGGGAAAAGATGGGCTACCTCCGAATTAAGATCTATGAGCTTGTTAGGGAGATTAGGTTTTTTGACAAAGTATGTGGTAGAGAGAATGTCAAAATTATAGAAAGCTCTTAGACTGCTAACGACTTCACTTGTGTTCTTGCCTGAGGTGATTGAGACAGTTTTGAGATTCTGATCTTTATTGTGGTAGGAATTTTGCTTGGGTTACTAGGTAACTAAAGTAGGTTTTTCTGGATAAGTTCTTCATATGTTTCGTACAATTCTTGATAATTGATCTTTTATAGTGTGAAATCAATAAAAAAATTAAATCCGTATTCAAGAAGTTGGACAACTTGCCAATATTTGAGTAATGCTAGATCTGTTGAGCACAGGTAGACAATAAAGAGAGCCTTATTAATCATCTTTCTAATTTTGTTTCAAGTGGTTCTGATGACATATCCCAAGTTGTTGGCTTGACAGTAATTTGAGTGAAATTGTTTCTCAATTTTCTCATATTCTTTTTGATATTGATCTTTAATTAATTCATCTTTTGCAAATGTCTTGAAAAAGTCCCGGTCTCTGTACTTGATTTTTGAGAAGATTTCTTTGAGGAAAGTTCTTGAAGCACCTGTCAGTTCATTTTTGATCTTTATAAAGAAGTTAATTACAGATTTAACAGTTCTTTCACACTTGTTAAGTTCTTTGCATAGCTCTAGTATTTTGTTCTGTTTATTGAGAGCAGTATTTCTGATGTCAAAGGTGCTGGTAGCCTTAACCTTTACAGTTTGGTTGTCTTCTAGATGTTTGTTAGTTTCATCCACCCAGTCAATAGAAAAGAATTCAAGTGTCTCCACTGATTGGCTTGGGAAGGGAGACTCATCAATTTTCATGTTTGCTGTGACTGGTTGAGATAGCTCATGTGTAGATGAGTGGATGGGCATGTTGTGTCCTTGAGTGTTATGTTGTATTGTAAGATTGTCACTTGAGATTGTATGGAACTAGGTTGATCACTGCTGTGTTCAGGGAGTGCTGCATTAGGGCTGATTTGATCGACATTGTGTTCCAAGATGTTTGTATGTTGTGCATCATTCTCACAATCAAGTTGCATGTTATTGTCATTGATTCTTTCTCCAATTAGGGCAGAAGTGTTAGAAAGGGGTATGGGTGTTTCAGTTTTACGCTCCAGAGAGAAAGTTTTGGCTGTTTCATCAATGTTAATGTTAATTTTGTTCCAAGAAACATGTAATCTGTAAATGGGTTTTTGTTTAAGAAGTTCTTTCATGATTCCTGCTTTGTCACTGTCAGACAGGTTAAAAGTATGTCAGTATTCAAAAAAGGAGTTCATTGTTTCCAGGGACATAGAATTTAAAATGTTAGTTTTGACTTTGGTGTAATGATTGCCAAGTCTTTTTTTGTGTACTTCAAAAGAGACTAAGATTACTTTAAAAACTTCATGATTATTCTCTTGGAAGTGTACTAGTATTAGCCATGTTTTTGAAGGGTTTTCAAATTTTGGAAGGTGAATATTAGCAGTAGGGTTGGTAGTGTAAATGACATTGGTATTGTTATTTTTGTGAAAGATTACAGCCAGACATTTGTCAACATCGGTGATGAGGACATCAAGCAAGGTGTGAGTTGGTTCAATGAGTTGATTCTTGGAAGATGAAGAGGGTCCTCCAGGGTCCTTTATGGTCTTTTTTGAAGAAAAAATTTTTGATTTCCTTTTTTGGTAGTTTTATTCTAATGTGAGTGTGTTTAAGAAAGAGTTCCTATATATCAAACAATTATTTAATAAGTTTACATTTTAACTTTATATTTATTATTTCTTTGAAATATATACAAAATACAAAATACAATCTACAAATTTAAACCTATTTAGTTTATTTCTTTAATTTTTATACCGTATTATTTAGAATTTGTTAAAATATAAATGAATGTAAATATAGTATCTCAAAACTATTATATTTTTATAACAAAAATTAAAATTTATATGTTGTAATAAAGTTTATTTTTTTACTAACAAATAAAATTTTTTATTTTTTGCTTATTAAGTTCATCAGTTGCAGTTTACTATAGATTTTTTTTCAAATTTTTTGAAAAAAGTCTTTAATTGAAAATAATAGTAATGATTTTTTAAAATTAGAGTATTTTTTTAAAGATTCAAAAAATCCGAAAAAAATTTATAGTAACAACTGATAGTTTAATAAACAAAAAACAAAAAAAAAATATTTGTTAGTAAAAATAGACTTTATTATAGCATACAAATTTCTATTTTATTATGTTTTGCAATACTTTTGAGAGTCACTGTATATACTTAACTATTTAACAGTATCAAAGAATTTGATTGGTTATAAATTACTTTTTACGTGATATGCAATGCACTTCTACTAGCCAATATACAGGTAAAAGTGAACGTATTATGAGTATTATTTGTGATAAATTACTTATTATCATTGGTGAAAAAATAGGTAGCAAAGCATCAGATGCTGATATGTCTAAAAAAGAAGAAACATTCGACCAGATACTGGTACATCAGAGAAAGAGCAAACATCCCAGAAAATTCCCTGGGAAAGAGATCAGTCTGTTGGTAATTGTTTGTATTGCAGGTATTGTTTATAAAGGAATTGCTTATTATCTTTGATAAATATAATAGTTTCCATGGAGGACGTTGAAGCTATTGAGATTCATAAGCCAAGTGTTGAAGAAGTCGAGAAGTGGAAGAGAAATGATGTTACAACTTACTTGAACACAATGAAAGAAAGTCTAGACCTTGACGACAAAGATATTCAGAAAATCACAGATCAAAAAGTTGCAAGTCTAGCCTTCCTTCGTTTAACTGCAGAAAAACTTATATCCTCACCTTACAATCTTCCTGGTGGTCCGGCCGAAGAGCAAGGTAATCAGTGAGCGAATAATGCAATCATCTGTTGATTTAATGATCAAAAATTGATAAAAGAGATGGTTGACAGTTCAAAGATGGTATCACGGCGGGATACTTTTTTAAGGGAACGTTTAGTATAATATTTGTCACGTTGACTAACTTGGGCTTTTTACATTAATTATTACATAGCTCCTGCCACCCAAGGTAAGCTATTCTACCCGGTTGCTGTTATATTAAGGTAAAATGAGTTTTACATTTCTTGTTATTTAATTTAGCTATACAACTACAGCTTGAAACAGAAAAGCGCAAAAGAGTGGAAACTGAATTATCAAGGGTTGAAATCGAATTATTATTGGAACGGGAAAAAAGGCTTCGTGTTGATGTTGAACACAAAGCCTCGATATATTATTATGAAAGTATTTTGTACGCAACAACCCACGGCCTCGCTAGAATGTGGGAACAAATGAATCCAATACACCGTCAAATGCTATGGTTTGGACCTGCAATAGAACCACTCATGTTCGACCAACCACCGACAGGTAAAGTCGAACAAGACTATCAAGATTAGTTTACAAAGAAAATACCAACACAGCTAGATGGTGACGGGTCTATTAAAGCTGTGGACAGCCATCAGTTAAAGTTTCTCGACGGAAAAGCTCCCGATAGCGCTATTCATACTAAAGGATATTCTTTAACTTCGCATACAGTAGAGGCTATAGGTGAGATAAAATGTCGAGGAAATTGCTTCACAAACACCTATCAAGTGCAAGTCCTACGGTATGCCATACTCATTTTGAACCATCAGAAGAACCGGAATCAGATCACGGGATTCTTGACGAATTGTCATCACATTATGTTTATTGAAGTTTCCAGGGAAGTGAATGACCGTCTGTACAGTATATCTTATTCCAGTCAGATGAACTTGAGTAACCAAATCACCACCCGGTATCTACGAGGGCTTCTTAGTACAATACAGTACCACCCAACCACAGGTATTTTGCATACTTTACATGACCCTGTATCTGCACCATCTCTGCAAACATACATTTTTAATTTGTGGGTTTTAGGTCTAAAAGTGGATTTAGATGACATGATTGCATCTACGCCCACCTCTACTATATTTAGCGTCGTCGACAATAAAAATGCAGTTGTCAAACTTGTGAATCAACCCGATCTGTTAAACAATGAGATCAGAATATTAAAAAAATTGGGTCAAATTTCTGGTATTATAGAGTTGATCGATTCGTCCACAAATGCGATGTTATTACAACCACGTGCAGGTGAATCATTCAAAGATAGTCTACATCATGTATCGTCCCTCGTGGAAATTGTAGATGCGCTCTATCGATGCCACCAAATCCATATAGTACATGGAGATGTGCGACTGACCAATATTCTTGTGGATGAAGAAGACCGACTCATATTAGTTGATTTTGGGTGTGGTTCGATCGTAGGAGAGGTGAGTCTTATCGATGCTTACCAAGTATTATTTCAAAATTATTTTATAAACTCGTGACTCTGTAAATTCAGCAGTGGAATTACTGTGGTTTAAAATTACCCTTTCGCTCATTACGATTGATGAAATCAAAGTCTCCAATTCTTATTCAACCTCAAGATGATCTCTTTATGCCCGTTCAATCACTCTATCTTCACTTGCATCATAAAGAAGTACTTGCGACTATAATTGATCTCAGTGATCCCTCAGATGTCCTTGGGTTTTGGGAGAAAGTGTTTTCGGATGATCTCTGGGGGAAGATGCGTGTTTCCTGTGAAAACTTGGATTATGATGCCTTGAAGGAATGCATTTTAAAGATACCATA